AAAAAAGCGTTTGTTATCGATTAGAAGTAAAAATATTACACCACGTCGACGTTTTTCACGCCTTCAGTATACAAACTGCAAAAAGGATGGCAGGGAGGAAAGAAAGAGGTCGATCTAAGAGCAGAAAGGGACGAAGTGGAAGGAGATCTCGTAGAAGGGGCAATCGCGGCAGAAAGAAAGTAGTGAGTCAGTAGAACGTAATCTTCACCAATGTCCCCGACAACAGGAAACGGAATTGCTAGATTACCGTAATCTAGCGACCAAACGGCTCTTTTCAGAGCCACGTTTTTATTGGTGAAGAGTAGCCAAATCCATTTTAATAAACAGCAATTAATGCTTTATTATATGTCATAATTAATTAATATATGTCGTACATTTAATTTTTCTATAAATTTTGAATCGTTCGGAACGTTTCGAATCTATAAATTCGAAACCATTCAGCCTATAGTGGAGATTGTCTTTTCGATTATTTGATACTTGAATTTTTACATAAATCTCAAATAATCTTTTTACTATCTTTTCTTATTATATATTTGTCAACATGACATTAATCATTAACAGGACAATTATACTGGTGTTAAGCATTTACAAGAATTGAGGAAAAAGTTCTTAAAGGAAACAGACTTTTTTTATTAAGCTATCTGTATACATACAACGATTAACATCTGTGTTTCGGGCCATCGTGCCCCCATCAGCAGGATTACAATATTTAACTGTAAAATAATAAGTAGATGTCATTCTGTAATTTAATATCAACCTAATATATGTTGTACACTACATTTACGTATACAGTAGACCCCCCCTATAACGCTTAGATACGTTCCACGCTAACCGAAAATTACGTTGTAGGAACGATTAAATACATGAGCCAATCGCAGCCCGATAGGTGGGAACTTTACGGACTACGGCTGTTTGAAAGGTTTTCTTCTATAAAATTAACCGATTCTAGACTAATTCCACTCAACATTTCCAAAACACGTATAATTTTTTGGGAATAATCTGTATAAACTATGCTANTGTCACTAATTTAAAAATTGGCGAAATTAACAAAACCAGATCAAAAGTAGCATCGTGTTTCTCAGCTTCAACAAGAATTAATGAAAAATCTCATTATTTGAAGTTTTTATTTTTTTCTACAATCTAAATCTCAATATTTAAACAACTAGCAAAAGTACTATTTTTAACAGAAAAAGCCTGATTAAGGTGTTTCTACCTTGTAGATAAACATTTATAATAAATTTACATATATAAAGACAAATGTTTCGTTTAGTGCAGATAACAAATACGTAATTATTCCCAAGATGTCAGGAGAAATCCGTTTCCTGTTGTTACCTGGAAATGTTAGTTACTTCACGGCATAACTCTGAATCCACTAGAAAACTGAAAAATTAATGCTGTCGGGTGTACTTCGTTTGTGGAAAATTCTATTTCCAGAATTATCATAAAATTTTCTCACTTAAGCCACAAAACCACGTCAAGGTGACACCCACTTTGTGGTGGTTTTTTTTTTTTTGTTTCCAGAAACCAACCCTACTTGCTAGACAGCGTAGCAAGTAGAGAGAAAAACTGGATCGCGCGCGAAGTTCTCATAGGTAAAACGACCGATAATGACTTTTGTCCTCCTGTTTTCTCTTCCTATACCCATTCCAACCCAAAAAATACTCCGTCGATCTCATGATTTATGTTAAGTATTTTAAACCTTATAGTGTAAGCAAAAAATAGAAAACTTAAGCTATTAATTCTTATTATAATTTGGGACTATCACTCTAATCCTCTCCCAACTTTCCGTTAATTGCATCCGACCCAAGTTAAGACTAATTCATTTCACGTCTTTGTATTTTGCGGATTTTGTCTTTGTTCCTTAGAGGATCGATTTCTTTAACGATCCATTTTCCATTCCGATAACGACTTTCCTGAACAGCAGTTGGAAATTCCCACTAATATCAATCCCACCAATAAAACAGTAAAAATTGGATTTGCCACGAAAGGCTTTTTCCAGATTAAGTGTCCGACAACAACTCTTTTGCTATTCACGAGCAGCTAATGAGAAGTTCTATTAAAGCTTTACCTAGGAGCCGGGAAACAAATCGTTGTCTTCTGATTAATTCATACCTATTTTGAAGTTCAGTTCATTCTGCTACTAGCACCATTGTATATGAGCTGGAAATTTGTCTCCTCGTCAATTCACTACGTATGGTGGCCAAGAAGGGGCTACACTTGAACCACGATACACTTGATCCCATCTACAATGTTGTCTTTATCCCAATCACCACATACGTTTCGACCATCTGTAGGTGTGATAGCCAACAGTCTCGCCACATGCAACGGCTACAAAGTACCCGAAGAATGGCATTTCTGTTTCTGCCTCAATCATATTCAACAGCCTTAACCGTGTCTTTTATATGTCGTGAGCAAAACTCTGCCAATTAATCGTTATGTAGAATATGCTGGATCTCGCTATCTTGTTGCGAAAGGAAATGACATCACTGTCTCCTCCATTAACTTGAAACTGAAATTTGCTTCAATAAGCTTACTTGTCCTACCTAACGTATAGGTTGCGCTCTTCAAACGATGCATGAAATAAAAACATATACTGATGAAATAAAAACATATACTGATGGTTCGAAGAAATTCACTGGAAGTGGTTCTGCATTTTTGACTTATTTCAATGGAATAAAGATTCACTACGAGCCTAGCACTTTACTTCCTAATTGCTCGCAATCGATTAAGCCATTCAGTGGCTCGAAGTAACACTCTCAAAAAAGGAGTGGTAATCTTCTCTGAGAGATCGTCAGCCGTTTTGTCTTTCCAGAATAAGAACTGCTTACATTCACTCATCAGGAAATCCTAAACACCTGTATCTCATCACCAATCATTATTCTCTCAACTGGCTGAGAGAACACTGTGGAAATATGGGAAAATATGAAAGTAGATGTTGGCAGATCATGCAGATCAGTCCCACAGATTACAATCATCCTTCCAGTCATATCAAACAACCGCTCTGGAGAGAAAAAAAGCACACAAATCCGATTGATAGGAAAGATCATGTACCAACTCCTAAGTTTTTTCGGATTATCAATCGTAGTGACAGCCTTACGCCCATTCATTTCATTTCCAATACTTCCTAATAATGTCAAACTTATTGTTAATACTCAAACTATTTTCAGAAGTATCACCAACTCTTATAATTGATTTTCTCTCAGTTCTTAGGCTAAACTGAAATTTTTGGAAATGGAGAGAGTGGACCTCCTCTTTAGTTTGTAAAATTTTTTTCAAAAATCAAAAATCAAAAATTCAAAAATTTGCAGTTTTCNTAAAGTATTTTAAACCTTATAGTGTAAGCAAAAAATAGAAAACTTAAGCTATTAATTCTTATTATAATTTAGGACTATCACTCTAATCCTCTCCCAACTTTCCGTTAATTGCATTCGACCCAAGTTAAGGCTAATTCATTTCACCTCATTGTATTTTGCGGATTTTATCTTTGTTCCTTAGAGGATCGATTTCGTTAATGATCCATTTTCCATTCCGATAACGACTTTCCTGAACCGCAGTTGGAAATTCCCACTAATATCAATCGCACCAACAAGACAGTAAAAATTGGATTTGCCACGAAACGCTTTTTCCAGATTAAGTGTCCGACAACAGCTCTTTTGCTGTTCACGAGCAGCTAATAAGAAGTTCTATTAAAGCTTTACCTAGGAGCAGTGCCGGCCCGAGGCAAGTTTTAGGATGGAGCGAAATCCTATTATGGCGCCCCCCTTGGTTGCTCCTAATTTATACCCTTTAATTTTCTTTACCACTGAGGCGCCCCCTAGGACTTAGCGCCTGGAGCGGCTGCTCCGTTCGACCTATAGTAGAGCCGGCTCTGCCTAGGAGCCAGGAAACAAATCGTTGTGTACTGATTGATTTCATACCTATTTTGAAGTTCAGTTCATTCTGCTACTAGCACCATTGTATATGAGCTGGAAATTTGTCTCCTCGTCAATTCATTATATATGGTGGCCAAGAATGGGGTCTCAACCACGATACACTTGATCCCATCTACAATGTTGTCTTTATCCCAATCACCACATACGTTTCGACCATATGTAGGTGTGATAGCCAACAGTCTCGCCGCATGCAACGGCTACAAAGTGCCCGAAGAATGGCATTTCTGTTTCTGCCTCAGTCATATTCAACAGCCTTAACTGTGTCCTTACATGTCTTGAGCAAAACTCTGCCAATTAATCGTTATTTAGAATATGCTGGACCTCGCTATCTTGTTGCGAAAGGAAATGACATCACTGTTTCCTCCATTAACTTCCCTGCACGCTTCATGAAACTAAAATTTGCTTCAATAAGCTTACTCGTCCTACATGACGTATAAGTTGCGCCCTTCAAACGATGAAACACATGAAATAGAAACATACACTGATGGTTCGAAGAAATTCACTGGAAGTGGTTCCGCATTTTGACTTATCTCAATGGAATAAAGATTCACTACGAGCCTAGCACTTTACTTCCTAATTGCTCGCAATCGATTAATCCATTCAGTGGCTTGAGGTAACACACTCAAAAAAGGAGTGGTAATCTTCTTTGAGAGATCGCAAGCCGTTTTGTCTTCCCAGAATAAGAACTGCTTACATTCACTCATCAGGAACATCCTAAACACCTGTATCTCATCACCAATCATTATTCCCTAACTGGCTGAGAGAACATTGTGACAATCGGGGAAATGAGATAGTAGATGTTCTTGTTCAGGCTGTGGCAGGTCACGCAGGTCAGTCCCACAGATTACAATCATCCTGCCAGTCATATCAAACAACCGCTCTGGAGAAAAAAAGCACACAAATCCGATTGATAGAAGAGATCATGTACTACAAACTCCTAAGTTGTTTCGGATTATCAATCGTAGTGACAAACTTACGGCCATTCATTTCATTTCTAATACTTCCTAATAATGTCAAACTTATTGTTAATACTCAAACTATTTTCAGAAGTATCACCAACTCTTATAATTGATTTCCTCGCAGTTCTTAGGTTAAACTGAAATTTTTGGAAACGGAGAGAGTGGACGTGAAGACAAAGATACAACCTCTTTAATTTGTAAAATTTTTTTCGCAAAGTTTTCAAAAATCTATAAGTACGATGATAGTATATTCTTATAGCTTATCTCTATAGAAGATCGGATGAAGGAAATTATAGAAAAAATTAACTAAGAATTCAACCGTAGAATACACCATCACAAACCGAACTATCTTTCTCCCAAGTAATACCTGAAAAAATTCTCACTGGGTATAGAAAGCTCAGAACTTACCTGTTCTTCTATTCTATTGTACACATTATAACAAACGTAATCGAAACGGAGGAAAATTGATCTTGTCTGCTTACGTTTCTAATGAACAGTGTCTTGTACTGGATGTTTTCATTTTTACGTTACTGGCATAAAAGTGCTAAGAAAAGATGTCTCCTGAATGGGAGCTAGGTTTCATATAACACATTTCTTTACTTTCCGTCCAAGTATATAACAGGATTATCTTGTTTTACGTTTTCACCCTTAGAATTTTTCTAGTCAACAAAAGACAAAACGTCAAAATATTGCCACTGATTTAAAATGCTCTGCATTTGCTCTCCAACAAGTCGAAATTGTTGTCCACATTTTTACTTATGTAAAAATGTGGACAACAATTATTAGAATATTACAATTTTCTAGATAAAACATTGCAAAAATACCACAAGTAAGTAGTCTAAAATAGTTTATTTTAATGTACTAACTGGAAATACTCCGGATTTGACCTGTCCTTTGAGGCTGATCCTCTGGTGAATAGACGGAATCAGCTTCGCGAAACGACGTATTTTCTCTTTCCAAACTCCTTTTACCTTTCACCTATCCCCCTTCTAATTTTATCTTCTTCTCAATTTATTTCTCTTCAAGTCATACCGCAGAATAAAGCCAGTTTCTTTTGTATTTTTTTCTGTTTGAAAGAGTAATTATCATTACAATCTGAAAATTTTATTTGCAAACATTTATTGTCCGCAAACAATCACAAGAACAATAATATTTTATTGTTACGGAAGGCAATACTTTTCCATTATTTCGATCTCTTCTATGAAAAATTAACGTTTTATGCCATTTAAGTTTTTCTTGCATTTAATTGGATATTTTTACATTAGAAAAAATAATTAATGCAGAAAAAAATCATTCGTTGTTCGTGTGAATCAAATATGACCACAATTAAATTTACCTTCTTGAAATGTAATTGAAATTTGTGAATCGTATCGAATGGAATTCTATGTCTTACGTCGTTAATTAAAATCGAAATTGTTTTCGTCTTAGGTGTTTAAAACGTAATAATTTTATTCGAATAGTTTATCTCCGGTTAAATATATTATTTCGAAAATTTCAAATATTTATAAAAGTCTAATGATAATTTCCTTCTGATTTTAATACTAAGATATGAAAGGAATGTGTTAAAGTATGAAAGTTTAATACATTTAAAAGGTGCTTGCTGTCGAGATTCGGTAAGTGCGGCCATGAAGGTGCACATAGGTAAAGATTAACTGATGTTATATAGCAGACATGGGCAAATGCGACTCTTGCTGAAAGTATTAATTTCTACTTTTTATTATTATTATTTTTACAATTTTATTTCCACGATTTTGTAAAAATATGTTTATTAAAAAATTCAATATTTGCTTTATATTTATATTATATAATAAAATCGAGGTATAGAACTGCGGCTCCCATGCATTTTGCAAAATCTACATTTCGGCTTCCACTGAACTTTTGCTTGCCCATCCCCGTTATATAGTGTAAATGTTAAGTGTAGCATTAACACATTAATATATCTTAAAACGTAAATGATCTGAAACAATTTGATGAATGTTGTATACTTCAGCATTTGTAGACATTTAATCTTTGTGAATGAATTTTTATTAAACGAAAATATATAATTGCGTTATTGAATCGATTGAAAATTACTTACGAGATATTGAAATTCTCTAAAAATATCTTTTTTTTCTCTCTTTTACTCGAATTTCTCGGCTCTGGCAAATTCAAGTTATTGTCGGATGTAATCAATTGTCGGAGTGAATTGTTACTAGGGTTTTGTTGAATAAACTAATTTTTGTTAATTAATTTCAGCGATTAAAATATTTTAGCATTATTTAAATTTTGTGAAGTTATACTTCTCCATTATTAAATACAGTAGGCCTATATTTTTGTGGCCGTCACCTTATTAAGCAAATAGTCGAGGCGGTACAGACGAAGTCTATCTTTCGGGAGATCCGGGTTCGGTTTCCGGGTCTGTTCCGAAAATTTATATAGACGAGTCGAGCCAATACGTCAAGCGAAATTCTTATTTTTAGTCTGGCCTAAGGTGGAGAGAGTCCCCCTAAGGCGGAAAAATTATAATTATTCTTGTATATGAATTTCTCTTTAATCCAAACTTTTGTTGGATTAAAAAGACGTTCATACACGTGAGCCCTTTTTTTTTTACTCTTTCCGCCCTGTGAGCACTAAGAGGACCTCTTTTTGCAAGCCCATTATGGGTTCGGCCAGGCCCACAATGGGGCTGCCGAGTGGTGAGGGACGGGGCCCGACATATCCGAACGGACCACCCCCGAAAAATTCCTGGAGATTTTTCGACCCGTTCGGATTCGAACCCGGGTCCCCAGAGCGGTAGGCTGCCACCTTGACCGCTCGGCCATCCGGCCGCTATACACGTGAGCCAATATATAGCAACCATAAAACAGAAAAATCGTGAAGAAATTATAATTAATTTTTATTTGTTTGTTGTTTGCATACTGCAGCGCGACTGGCCGAGAGGGGATGCTTCTCGGGAGGAGTTTCTAGTGAAAACTGGCCCTTATTTAGACATTACAGAAGCGGAAAATTCCACGATGGCGAGGCGCGAACCCACGACGAACACTTACAATCAACACTTATAACAACGTGTGAATCATTTTTAAAAATTGGAACGAAACGATGTGTTCCCCGTATTTTTATAAACATGTTTTAAATTGAAATATTCCTCCCCAATTGGATAATGTTATTAAAAATTTGGTAATAATTAAAATAATTAATAACGCATCCTATAATTTTATATAATTATATTATTTAATATCTCACGGAAAAGATTCACTAACAATTTTTAAATTAGTTAATTTTTTTCATTACCAAAAACATAATTAAAAATTTATCCGACATGTTTCGCACACGTCATATATATATATATACAGTATATATATTATAAACAACTTCCCCCTAATGGCAAAAGTAGGAACTAAAGTGCAGCCGATAAATAACAAATCGGTTTGAAAATTAGATTTTATAAAGTGGTGTCAAAAACGATTCATTCCGTAAAGTTATGTTAAAGGAAACAAACGTAAGTTACACATTTTGATGTTTTCTCCGTCGCCAATCCTCCAATTGTTTATATTTAGACGTCTCCATTTATTTAACCTGTCAACAAAGTTCAATAACTCGTTTAGGCCTAAATCTGTTGGCAAGTTTGGGATTTCGTAAGCCCATAAAAGTGACGTAAATCGCAAATTTCCTTTTCTAGATCGCATTCTAGGTTACTTTTTTCTCCGTGGATCGTCTCTGCCTTCGTATTAACCGTACATATGATTTTAAGGCCGTATTTTAGTTTAAATCGACGAGATTCTGGCTCTGACACGTTAAACACGGAAAATTAACACCTGGACAAGTAATCTGAACTGTGGATCTGTCGTTAGATAAATGTAATTATCACTCGGATGACTATAAACAGGTAGAAGTGGTTGGCTGCGGCATGGTCTTTGGTAAATTATATTTCACTCTCATTAAAAAATTATTCATAAATAATAACCGTGATTGTTTATGGTTTGTGTCCGGAGTGTTCGGTGTAATTGTGGCCCTGGACGGAGCAGTTGGAGTCGGGAGCGGAGATGGCGAAACGTGCGACCCTTCGCCGGAGTGTTGTTTGGATTACGTGCGGCGGGATGGTCGACCTACCCGTCGGGATAAACGGTCCGGGTGGGGGCTCCCGGTGATTGATGGCACAGACCGAAATCCGTGCGTGATCGGTCCGTCGGAACCAGTTTGGGTTGGCCGTCTGGGTGGGAAGCGTCGTGAGACGACCCCGTTCTCGACGTGTAAGAATAACGGGTCGTCTCGGTAGTGGTGACGGGAAAAAGTATTGCTCGTCGCTCTTCTGGTGGTTAGAAGACTGGGAAGAAGAAGAGCTTTGTGTTTCGGGTTAGTTTTTTTAAGGAATATGTATTATCGAGCTTGCTTGTCTGTCCTGGTTGCCTGTCGGGCTCTCGATGAAGGAAAACCTAGTCGTCGACCACTGTAAATGAGTGCATGACTTGCCGGTTGACTACTGGGTGAATTTTGTATTTCGTGTTACTCTACTTTGTAATAAAAAATGTCAAAGTCCAAAACAGTTTTGAATGGTTGACTACTGTTACCATTACCCTATTATATGATTTTGGTTTATCATCTGATTTTTTCTTTTTTTTTCAATCATCCTTTTTACAATTTTCTTTACATTAATTAAAGCATATCTGTTTTACTTCTTTAAATATCATTATTTGAAGTTAAAAATTTTTATAGATGCTGAAATTTTAAAAGATAATTCTGCTCACTATATGGCATGTGGACTCAAAAAGGTTTGTCACATCATCCCTGATATATATATCAGGGATGACTTTATACATACATACATACATACGTAGATATACATACCCATGCGTAGTAAGTGTAATGTTGTTTCTCATGTTTTATGAGCTTTTGCCATCTGTAGTGAAGTAGAAAACAGCTTATTTTTAGTATTGTTATGAGAAATAGTTCTGAAATAGTTTTTTGCTTTTAAATTTTATCCCATTTTTGAGGGTCTTAAATTCCATATAGGCTCTGATTTTGGGGTGGCTATATTTTGTGTAGGGTTACGTGTAGGCTGTCAGTTCCTTTGACTTTTTTGCTCCTGTGAGTATGGTCTATGGCTCTGATAATGTCCGAAGCATCTTGTTCAAAGTTGCATTTTTACTGACCCACATACAAAGTGCTATAAACAAAAAATCGTGGACTACTTATTCACCCTGCACCATTTGAGCCATCGTTATTAGGGTAATTATTTACAATTTGTAATTTATGTAAGGAGACATCCATAATGACATATTTGGGGATACATTATTACTTTATGAAGTCAATGACTAAAGCAAGAATAGTTTCTGCCTTTGATTTTTTTCAAGATATTTATATGCATTTCTTGCAAAAAATATTTCAGAATTTATGTAGAAAATAAAAGAATGCAATTAGCATAACACAGTTTAAAAAGTAGCGTTTTGTCAATAATTATAAACAGTCACATATTACTTATGGTAGATTATAAATGATCTTAAGAGAGAAATAAAAGAAATTTATTCGGTGATTTAAAAACAAATGAAAGTAAAGATAGACATTGAATATTTTGGATTTGTTAAGCAGATTTTTTATAATAATAGAAGTTTCATTTAGTCCAGTCTTGATTAATTGATAATAGTATTGGATAGTATAATTTCTTCTGTTAAAATGTATCAAAATTTTATAAAACATCTGGATACTCTTTAACAGTGGATTTGATATTTTGTTGAATCGAAAAATGATTATTCAAAATTAATTAATTATAAACAATAGTACATGCTACTGATTTTAATGAGGATTGTTGTTCGACTGATAAAAACATTCATCCTTATTTTAAGAAATATTCAGTCTAGCTAGCTGAAAACAATGTATAAATGTATTTAGCCATTAATCTTATAACAGTGTGTGGTAAGACATATAACAAAGATTTCTTGATTAGTATATTTATAATTTTATATCAAATTATAATAGTTAGTTTCAAAACTTATGTTAATAGAATAATGTCATAATTTGATAAGCAATACATTATCATTTTAAAACTTATCTTATCTTAATGTAATTGTATATAAAAGAGAACATCGCAGTCGTACGTCATTTTGTATTTCTTGTATATAACATTTAACATGTTTACATTTTATTTACAGAAGGATCATTTACACTTACATTTACGCAAATGTATCGTTCCTGCTTGAGGTTTGTTGAAAATATCGTCAAAAAAGATAACAATAAGAATCAAGTAGAAGTGTATAAAAACACGGCTAATAATATTTATCATGAACGTCAAGTTAAAGAACTGTGCGCTCTTCACGCACTCAACAATCTCTTCCAAAATGCCACTGCATTTAGCAAAGAGATGTTAGATGATATCTGTCACCAGTAAGTTTAATAAAATTGTTCTGTATTATAAATTTATGTCATGTATTAAGAACATGATTTGTGATCATGAATATCTCACACCTTAAAAATAACTTTTATTTCTAGACTTTCTCCAGGAAATATTGTCAACCCACACAAAAGTATGCTCGGTTTGGGAAATTATGATGTGAACGTCATCATGAAAGCACTACAGTATAAACATTACGAAGCTATTTGGTTTGATAAAAGAAGGTAAATTATTTTTTTATATAAACAAAATATTAGTTTAATATTTAAATCTTTCAATTTTGAATAATATAAACATATTTTATTGATAAAACTGGTAAATAATCCAGCAACAGACAGTTTATTTGATCATTTCAAATTCTAAAATTAATTTTAATCAGTTAGTAAACAAATCAATGCAAATCACTGTCAGATTAACATAATTATCTAAAGTTAATTGTTAAAAAACAAAATAAAACTTTTGAGAATACAAAAGAATATTTAATACATAATGTTTCATTTTAAATATTAATGAACAAATTAGTTAAGTTTTTTAATATTTTGTCTGTCTAATTCTAAATGAGAATTATATAATTTTAAAAAATTAAATAGTTTTAAGTATTACTTATTACACAAACATTTAAATTTTTATTTTATTTTCAGGGATCCAAGTTGTATCAATTTGTCCCAAATTAAAGGATTCATTTTAAACATTCCAAGTGAAATGAAATTTGGTTTTATTCCTCTTCCAATAAACCGCAAACATTGGATTGCTGTTAGAGAAATAAGTGGGATTTATTACAATCTAGATTCAAAACTAGATTCACCTGTAGTATTAGGAAATGTAAGTTAATTTATCTCATATATGTGTTTGTCGACAAAAAAGTAATTCCGTACGTGTGCCAATTACATTTCATGTTTTAATTTATATATTTTAAGGATTTTTTTAAACATCAAAGCTTATACTTGAATAAATTTTATTTTTTAGGAGACCGAACTGTTGACGTATTTAAGAGAACAAATAAATAGCAAAGAACGTGAGATATTTGTCGTAGTTAGGCAAGAATTAACGGATTCTTGGCGAAATGACATCAAACTGGAGTCGAACCGATCGCTAACTGGAAGTGGCATTAGCACAACGGTACTCTCGTTAGAACAGGAGACATATAATTATATATTACCGGATACAGTAGTGACAGCATTCGTCAGTCCTGCTTCTTCTTTGAATAAAAAAGACAAGCGCATTATGCAACTCAGACAGCCAAAGGCCACAAATGAAAAATTAACCAGTTTTTCCTTTTCCGATACTGAAAGCACTTTAACGTTACAGTGAGATTTTGAAATATTTTTGCTCAGTGCCAGCCAAGCGTCGTTTTTGCTGCTTGTGTCATCAATATCCGTCCTTTGCTGTTGATTTAGAAGATTAAATTTTACAAATCAACAACAAATTGTGTATAAATAAATTTTATATTTTAAAAGTGCAACGTTTAATTGCCAATTGGGAGCCAAGATGCCGTCTTCTTTTTATTGCGTTAAAATTTCCGTAAACTTACTTTTAAGTGATAGAAACTAGTCGGTGCGAAACGTCTGCAAATATATTTCCATATTTTTCTTTGGTCTTTTTGGGCAACAATAACAAAGACGAGCCATTCTTTATATATTTTTTTTATATATATATATATTTGCATTGTAATTATAGGACATTTGGGATTTAAAAATTAATATAAAATGTTTCATGTTGTATATAAGTGTAATAAACATTTATCATTGAATATATTTACATAGTCTATGTATACTATAACAGTTAATACTAATGTATTGTTTATAAACTTTTTTGTTAAATAAATTGTCACAAAATATTTTCAGATTCTCACACAGTTCAAGTAATTTCAAAGTTTCCAACATGCAATTTTATTCATAATCCATTTAAACAATATATATTTATATATCTCACAATAAATATACAAATAAGTACATATATAATTTCATGATTTTCTACATCACCAACAGAAGAAAACCGCAATTTATATCCTGACATCGTCAGTAACCTCATTGTCATGTCGCTATCAAATCCACTAGGTCAGTGGCAACATTTCATAAATAGCCTTTTTTTTTTACATGATTTACTTAACAATATACAAATAACCTCTTCAGATTTCATATTTGTGGACAGTTTGTAGGAAGGGAAGATGCGCGATGTTCTTTCGAAATTACAATGCCAAAATGAACATGCATTAAATAAATAATTACTGATTGATTAGAGAGGTCATTCCTAACGTGCAACGAAATTAAACAAATTCAACATCTGCTAAATCATTCTAATGATAAGGACAAGAGTTGAAATTGCATATAAAACATTTTAAATAGCGATAGATTAGTAGCAATTCCGATATTCAATTTGCATAATTGAACACGGAGCTAAGACTTGTCTAATTTAAGAAATATAAGATTTGGGAATGTGTGATGATTATATGAAATGTATATAATTTTTTTTTTACAATGATACTACTATATTGTATATATATATAATTTTTTTATAGTGTTATTTTAAAAATCTACTAACACATAAATTAATTTAAATTACATAGGAGCTCAATTGTGACCAAACAGAGGGGGGGAAAATTAATTCACTACATGCAACCCAGATTTCGGTGCTGACTATAAACATTGGAAAAGTTAAACTATACGGTGAGGTCCATTTTAATCTTTGTTCATTCAATGTCTTAAAATTGTCTCCGACGACTATAGTCTGAGCAACGTCACGTCGGACCAATTGGTTAAAAATGGCAAGATGTTTTCGTAAAAAAATGAAAAAGTCCAAGAGGATAACATTCTTGTAGAAATGCACATAATTTGATGAATGCTGCTAATGGCAGCTAATTCCAGAGGCAAGTACTTAAATTGGTTGGTAAGCATTGGAAATACTTATGCTGGCTTGGAATGATTGGATACTAATCTTTGGCAGTGCAGTGAATTTTGTGCCATTTCATAAATTAGGAACAAATATTTTTTTGGTTCTATAAGCCCATGTAGTGTTGTACGGGTCTTTCCGCTCCAGTTGGCGGAGAATTCCGAGCCGCAAATCTCAATCGGTTGCTGACTGTTCGGGGCGACTGAGATTTTGTATCATTCTCTTTCTCACTGGGAAGGAAAAAAACAAAGTTTAGTATATTGTTTAATTTCTTCAACAACAGATAAAATATTAAAATTACCCGAAGAAAGGTAGTAGAGAAATTATAGTTTCTCTGTCGGGATTGTTAGTTAGGTCAGAGTTTGTCTGGAGCATCCAGTTAATAATGGAACGTAAATAATGTTGAAAGCGCCGTCGCCTCTCCTCTACAACTTTTGCATCCTGCATAATAAAACAAACATTCAGATGTAAAATCTATTGGTTAATGTATTTCCCGATTGCCTTCAAAAAATATTTACCTTGTTACCGAGAGTTTTCTTTGGTGGAAAATCAAAAGTGTTAACAATAGGATGTTTCTTTTTAAGAGATTTATGCAGGGCATAGAATTCCGCATACCTCCGATAAATATTCCATTCGTCATCCCTTATGCGAATGTATACCTAAAGCAATAAAAGTATCATTTTTGGTTACACTATAAAATTTATCAAAGGTGCTCTACCTGATAAACATGATGAAGATCCGTCGTACGACCGGCCAAGAAAGCAGACGGTATCCATATATTTATGAGTGGACGGGATGCAGCCGTCTGCGAGGATCTGTCAAATAAAACATCCAGTTAATGGTAAATAATTTTTGCTACAGATAAAAACAGTGAGGGGTCGACTTACGCATCGTAATCTGACGTTATGCTAATGTCATCATCCGATGTCTGATTATCATCCGGCAACTATAAGATTATTTATTAAATATCCTCATCTTAAAAATGGAAAAGTTAATAATCTGTCAATCCACTCACCGGACCTCTCAAGTCGACAAGCTCTTCTTTGAGTCTTCTTATACTTGCTTCTCTTTGGAGTAACAGACGATGGAGGCGTTCATTAAATTCCATTAATTCTCCATGCATTTCTGCTACCTGAAATATATTTCAAAAGCAAGACTTAAATTGTAAAAAATTAATGTCAAAAGAACAAAGATTTTTCATGTACACTTTCTTGCTCCAAAAATATTTCAAAATGGACTTAATTATTAAATCGTACTTGGACAAGTTTCTTTTCATATTCTGCAGCCTCGTACTGATGATCAATGTATATCCGAGGTTCGGGAATGGCTGGTTGTACATCTCCTATCATCCCGGATAAAGCTAAAATAGATTTTTTCAATTTATCATTGCAGGGGAAAAAAGTATTGCACACTACAAAGGAAAAGAACATACTTTCTTGAGCTTTAACACTATCTCTCTTCAACATTTGAACAGCAGCAATATACTTTTTCAGCTGATGTTTCAATAGGTCATTCTCTCTGAAAGTTAAGTAGTAAATTAAGATTTACTATTTATTTTACTCCATTATTGCTATATTAATTTACATTCTTCAAACAAAAGATTTCTCCATCTCCAACCTTTGTTACAGTAAAATATATTATATATGCTTGGTATTTTACTTTCAATTCTTACCTATTTATTTCAACTTCTCTAATTTCTAAATCTCTCCGGGAGAGATTTGTTGGAAAGGAAGAAAGCAATACTTTAGGGATAACCCATTCTCCTATGGAAAAGTTACCGGTTTGGTCCATTGGTGTTATATGCTACCGGCAATTTGAAAGTAGAATTGCACTCATAACGGCAGTGGAAAGCAGTCTGGCCATGGCCAGAACTTTCCTAAGGCTTTGTGTAATCTTAATCAAAATACAGTAAAAAGCCATTAAAACTGTTACCTACCTGGAAAGCGTTTGCAATTTAATTTCCTGCCTTTCATTCTTCTCCTCGTGCTGCTTTTTCATTTCTTCCATTTCTGCCCTAAGTCCTGCACACATTTCCATTTCCTTGTCTAACAAGTTTCTTAGAGAGCTAAAGAGAAAAATTTTCATTTTTTTAGTATTTTGAAAACATTGTGGTTACTAAAACAGTTTAAGAATTACTTATTTGTCTCTTCCAGTTCATCTTTTCTGTGTAAGACAACCAAAAGAGCTTCCCTGAGTTCGTCTACAATTAGAAAAATTAAAAGACTTAACAAAATTCATAAAAAATTTTTATATTACTTTGATATTTCTAAATGAAACGGTTACCGTTACTCATGCTTAGCGTTTCACTTCTGCTTCTGGGTTCTGATGGTTTTCTATTTGCCAGAATCACTGCCGAGTTGAGGGAAGTTTGAGAAGACGGTCCAACCGTTCCCCAATTTGTGCCCCTCTGGGCAACCGCCAGAGCGGCCGCGGCGTTTTCGGTTTCTTCTCCATAGCTCGGTATTGACACGGAATCTTCTAGGCAGAGTTTTAAATGAGTTGCTTAATTACAAACAAATAACTACGGCAGATTATACTAATAATTTAAACTTGAATGACATTTCTTCACTAAATCTCGACTTTGAAATTCATAAAATGTAGAAGCCGAACTATGTCAAGAGGGAGAAGCAACATCCTTAAAAGAGAGGAAAGGAAAAATGCAGAGTTGAGATAAATAAAGTCATGGAAAGGGCTTACGGCTGTATTCTAAAGTTCTTTCTGCTGAAGGCAGGTTGCACAGAAAATATTTTAAGAAAGACAGAAGAGATAGACAAGTGGAAGATGAAGCTAGCAAATGAAATAGTTTGAGAAGGAAAGAAAATAGAGAATTAGGTTTAATTAATTATTTTAAGACAAGGAAAAGATATTGTTATAAAAAAAACAAGGAAACAATACCTGATGGTATTAAAAATATAATATTACAAGCAGGGAGCAGAGAAGCATTGACATTTAAAATGAAACCCAAGAAGAAGATTGAGAAAATATGAAAAGAAAAGAAATGGAAGCGAAAATTCCTTCAAGCTTTCCGTCTCCAGAGTTATTTAGTTTGTAAGACACAAAGAAAGGTGACTGATTAGAATCGATTTGGAAAGAAGATATTTAAAATTTGTTTAGAAAGTACTTACGAAAAACATTGGAAGCAATAGTTGACAGGAAAACTTCTCTAGGAAGTTGTGAGCAAGTGGTCTGGGATTTAAGGAACATTCCAAAACAAAATAGGTGAAATCTATTTATGTTACATTACAAAAGTTTCTATCCTTCAATAGTGACAGAGGAAGTTTACGAGATAACAATGATAGCCTTAAAGAACCATTTTCCAGTATCAGTGAAGGACAGTAAGTTTTAGGAAGTTAATGGTAATTGTATTAAACAATTGCATTTTGTCCTTGATGAGCTTATTACACTCAGAAGGTAGGATTATCACAAAATCCATTGTCAGAAATAGTAATTCAAGAGAATTTATTTATATAAGCTAGTTCCTCTGAGCGTATGTAGCCGCTAACTTACATTTAATTTGTCAAGGAGAGCTTACAGGTATAGTACACACATCGCAAATTTAAAACTAGTTAGATGTGAGAAAAGTATATAAAGGGTCACATTCCCATAAAAAGATTATAGAACAGATACAGGATAAGGTGGAAAAAAGAGGGATGCTAAAAAGAAAGGAGGAAGAATAACGGAAAAATAGATAATAGAATGTATAAGATTATCAGCAGATGCATGAAGCAGACACAGAAGAATTTAATATATGAGAAAAGAAAGGTATTTGAAAGAATAAGAAATGAGAAAGGTAGAATTTCATATCTAAAATAATAGGAAGCATGTGCAATGAAGATAGAAACAGTTATATAGAGTTATACAATTAACATATTGGAAACTAGGATGTAACATTGAAAAGATATGAGGAGAGGATAGTTTACAAGCATAAGGACAATGGAACAATCATACATTTATGTAGTACACTTAAAGTAATAAGTAGTAAAAGAGAATGATGCTGACAAGTTTTGTAAAGTAATGATGGTGGGAGACGTCCCTAAAAATTAAGTTTAGTGGTTACAAAGTAATAGGAAACCAACTGGAAAGTCCTAATGGCTATTTAATGTTTACTTGAAGTGATTTTGTGTTAGTGTAGAGTGAGTTTAAAGGAGTAAAGGATTAAGAAGAGAAGAGAAGAGAGAACAAATTTAATATTATTCTTTTAAAGATTTGAAGATGTTTGAAAATAAGTTGTTTTAATTAGAATGTTTCTTATGGTTGATGACAAAGTTAAAGCTTGAAAATTTTTCAATAGTTTGAAAGCCCGCAATTCTATTTAAGTACGTTATCAGTTACAGTTTGGCATTGCTTCTGAAACCAATATATTTCCATTTTTAACAACAAATATACTATTCAGCTTAAGATCCATTATCAAAATAAAATATAGTTTTACATAAGATTTTGCTCCTTCATATATTATGCTTTGCGATAAACCTGTTAGAACTATTTTCAAATCAAATTAAGAAATATTTGTTTAAAAAAAAATCTGTATAATCTGCTTTGATTACTATTTTAAAAATAAATATGACATTCATGGGATTAATTTGCAAAAGAAGCTTACCTGAAGATTGAATATCATCACCTTGATTTAATGGAATTAATTCACCAATGGAAGCGTTATCTATTGGTGTTAATATCGTTTTGGAAGGGAGACTATCAAGTATAAAATAATTAATATAAATTTAATAAATATCATTCTAATTATTTAATCAAATTACCCATTTTCTACGTTTGACACATCATCTTTGGTCGACAAATCTTGGACACGAAAAGATGGAATGTCTTGATCGGAATCAATGTTACCATTAATCAACTTATCACTATCCTCCGATTTGTTTTCTGAAGAAGCAAGAACCGAAATTACTTCTTCGGATTTCTTTGAGATGTTTTTATCTAAATTAACAAAAATCCATCAGTCTAATTTCAGAGAATGATAAGCTTCTTTTATAACATTACCTGAATCTTTAGAGAACCTTTGGTTAGTATCGTCAGTCATGACCGAATCTGTGAGAGCACCAAAATTACCATTATAAACAACTGGAGAAGAAAGACATGTTGGGGGTGCACTGCTGTAGGAAGGTGGAAGACTCACATTTCTAAAAATAATTTTGTAGAATGTTTTTATATAATTTAAACTCAGTATAATTATAAATAAAATTTCAGCTCCGAATGAGGTGGTTGGGACTCTCGTGCCCATAAGAGTGAAAATGTCAAACTGACAGTTTACATATGACCCTTTATGAGATATAACTCCTCTGAAATTAGCCTATCAGGAATTTTGAAGACCTTCAAAAATGGGGTAAAGTTTAAAAGTGGAAAAACATCAAACTATTTCACCAAACAATGCTAAAAATCAACTGTTTTTCACTTCACTACAGACAGCTAAAAGCTCATAAAAAATAAGAAACACCACCATTGCACACTATTACTACTGGGACATAATCAGAGTCACACTGCTTGCTCTGTTAAGCCTATCATGGGTCCAGAAAGGCTGATTTTGGGATGTTATAGCTTGCAAAGGGTCATATGTAGACCATTTTTTACTCCTATGAGCTTGGTCTACAGTTTTGATAAGGTCCCAACCATATCATATCAGAGCTGCAACTTTATCTAATTATATGTAAGAAGTTAAGAAGTATAAATTCAAATTTTCTCACTCATATTCATTTTCTCTCAGGTCATTATCATCAAATGATATAACTTGCAAGCTTGGTTTTTTTCTCTTCCTCTTCTTTCCACCTAAGAATTAATTAATAAATTAAAAGATAAGTAAATTAGAATTACTGCTCACTAAATCTGAAATATCATCTTAATGCAAACAGCTTACCAGAATGAACACCAAGAGATTTTGCAATTATGGGTAATGGTTCATCTAAAACTTCTTCAGTATTGTTAATGGTAATTTTATTTTCCACGCGATTATAGTCAAAAATGTCCAGATCCGGATTGTCAATGTTGATTGCAAATAATATAGAGCCCAGACCTATGTAAAATTCCAATAAGTAATAAATTTTATGTCTAAGGTAACTATTTTTTTATACAAAATTTTTAAATTTTAAGTTAAGTTTTCTTGTGTATGTTTCAAACCAAATATAAATATACAATAGGTGATGCAATATATGTGACTACTAATGTATATATTAAAGAAAATTAAAAATGATCACCTGCAGACATCATGGGCAGCATACTGCTCCTTTCTTGGTCCATCAAGAATGCCCAGTCTTCATAAAACTGACTATAAATAAATAATTATATAAAAAAACATTTGAATCATCATTAATAAGTTGGTAGGACAAGTGAATTACCTAATGTGAGTGGCATCAGCAAGCATCATATGCATGTATCGTTCCAGAGAACGTTCATTAAGTGCAGATCGGAGCCAAGCCCGGCCTCTTCCGACATCGGTGGAAGTATTTTTTAACATCAGGTACCTCTCGTATTCGTGTTTATTGAGTATCGTTCTCACAAAATGCCAGAAAGCTGCAAAATAAAATTTGCATAATTTAATTATAAATATCATAAACTTCCCTCGATAGTAATTAATTCGAATAAGTTACCTGGCTCTGATTCCAAATTTTTAAGGTTTAATCCTTTCATTATCTCGGTAACCTGTCTGAAAAATATTTCTTTCAATACATTTAAATAGTTAAAAAGAGGGGGCTTTTTAACATTCAATACAGTACAGTGAGTCTCTGTAGTCTGTCACATCCAGTAATCAATATTCTACATGGCAGTGTCCATGAAAAGACACTGATGTATGTGTACACTTTTTTTTTTTTTTTTTTTGTAAAAGTTGGCAGTTAATAGGCACTCTCATATGTATACTGTCAGTTGCTAGTTCTTTGTTGCACATCCTGTTACGATCAATATTAAGGTATTATTTTGTGTTTGTCAGATCACATATTTGAATCCTGCTCAAGGACGGATGTTTGTACTTTCGCAGAGTACACAAATCATGCATTCTATTAGAAAAACTTGCTACCATTAAAATCAAAATCAATTCTCAACCTATTTCTAATGTTATAAAAAAGTAGTTAATCAACTATAAGATGCATGGAAAATAATGCAGAGTGAAAAAAGTATATACAGTAGAGCGTCGTTTATCCGAATCAATTGGGGACTGGGGTTGTTCGGATAACTTATTTTTCGGATAACCAATTATGTACCAAAAAATATATTAATTTATCCCGTGTTGAAATTTTTCTCCGTTGCATGTCGCTTCGAATTTTCTTTGATGTTAAGCCTAATGAAGACTATTGCATCGTTAAAAATTATTTTTTTATTTTGTACAAACAAAATAAATATATTGAAAAATATAAAAACAATAAAAATTATACTTCAGAAGTTAATTTAGTATCAAAAACGTAAAATATTTGAGTAGCCAAAGACATAGTTAAAGATTACAGCGCCACAGCACTGGCAAAAATTTAAATTTGTCGACTGGAATTCCTTCAGATAACTGACGTTTCGGATAACCGACGCTCTACTGTATACATTTTTTTTTTTTTTTTGCAAGCAAGCTTTTTATGGGTTCAGTCAGCTGTGAAGGACAGAACCCCAACAGGGTTGAGTGAAGGGAGAGATTGACAAGGTTAGTCTGAGGAAACACAGAGAAAGTGTTGGGAGGATTGAACTGCCACTATGAAGTTAAAGCAAAAGAAATGAGATTTGGTTCAAAAAGACTGAATGTAACAAAGTTTTTTTATGAATATTGGGAAGAAATGACCCAAGCTAGCAAAGTGAATCACATATTCATGGAATTGGAATATTTTTCTGGGAAAAAAAAAAAATGTTTGACTGATTTGATTTGAAAACAAGAACATTTTTTGGTTCTGGAATCTGAAGGTTGTTGTATGTTCAATTTGGATGGAAGAAATCTGAAAGGAAATATTTGTGTGTTTTAAATAAAAATTGTTTTTTTCCAATTAAATTGAGTGTGGAGGTGCATTTTGAAATGTAAACAAGGTCAGATCCATTATGGAATCCTCACTCAGAATTAGACAGATGAAGATATAAGGGATACTGCAAAACAAATCCTTATATTTTTTAGCTATATATTGTGAGAACTTCTTGTGCATGTCTGCACTGTCAAAATAACCAAGTTGATAACTACATGAGAAAACAGTTCATATCTTTTTCCAGCAAGATATTGTAATTTTTCTAATTCTTATTCTCATGATAAGTCAAAAGGGTAATGTTATATGCACTCCTATTTCTTTAGTATTGCACTTTGAACTAATTCATATACTTATATTGTAATTCTTCAGTTTCTAACAGACTAACAACATTCACCTCTGAATCCAGGACAAGACTTGTTGAAGGATGGATTGTTTGTCAGAGCTGCCTCATATGGGCCCACAATTTGTGCACTGGAGTAGATGGTGCATGAATTGTGTAATTCAACTAATTTTAACAACTAATACTTACATAATGCAAAGTAAACTATAGAACAATGTAATTTTACATTGGTTGTTTTTAAGTAATAAAAATAAGTGTTTCATTCTGCCCAGGGTTAGGGCAATTTGCAATTTTACAATGTTTAAATCTTAACAGCCAATTGCAGAGACAATATTTAAATGATGACGGCAGTTTAGAGATCGTGTAGACCGCGGTTCAGAAAAATTTCAGTGCTGAGACGGCGTTTCTTGCTTGCCACAGTTTAAACAGCAATTAGAAACAAGTTATTTGACCAACTTTCTAGACTCCATTGACAGCAGGTTTAGACACCATTTTATTTGAGTAGAAGTCGCCATATTTATTTGTTGGTTGCAAAGTTTATGTTATAATGGATATCATTCATTTAATTTAATAAATCTTGTAATCAAGACGAATCAAGAAAATTATTAATCTCAACAATTACGAAGAGAGAAAGGGTAATACAAGATCGGAATAATCCTTTAGAAATATATTCCAAAGACAAATTTTGAATTTGGTATAGATTTTCTAAATCTGGATTTGTTCGTATTTTAAATTGTATTGAAGATGAAATTAAGCATCTAGATCAAAGAGGATTGCCATTAACTACAGAACAACAGTTGCTGACAACATTACAATTTTATGCCACTGGAAGCTTCCAGAGGGTAGCTGCTGATCTTATTGGCATTCATGTCTCTACTGTATGCAGGTATCTATCAAACTACCATTAAATAAATTTAAAAAGTTTTTGTATAGTGATAGAGAATTTATAATAAGAATGAGGTCTTGTTTAACGAATAAGAATAAGGTTTTGCTGTGAGCAGACTGACTAGGAAACAGCAAAGAAAATTCATTCTGTATCATCTCTCATACGGTTTTTCATCCCCAGAATACAATTGTTGTAACCTTTCTCCTCAAATGCAGGATAATTTTTATAACTTCCAGGAGGACACTTTTTTCTTCTTCAGAAAAATTCCAGCATGATTTGAACACATTGTTGCCATTTTTCTGACGTCATAAACGAATGACATCAGAAAAATGATTAAATGACTCCTGAGAGAGGGAAGAAAATAAGAGTCAACGTTTTGCCGAGATTCGTTTAGATGGCGTTTGGAAATAGACAATAGTCGTCTTTGCAATGCATTTAAACCGTGGTTCAGCCAGCCAACGTCTAGATGCCATTTGGCTGTTAAAAGTTGTTTAACAGTAACCTCTGTCTTTGCAATTGGCTGCGAGGGTTCCATTCTGTCCTGGTTGCCCCCTACATATTGAAATTTTTGTTATGAATAGTCTATGTGGCAAATAAGTGGGAAAAGCAAGCAGGGAAATGGATCTACAATGGGAATTGGATCTACAACTTTACACCATATATTATATTATATTACTACTGCACTTATATTAATAATGAGTATAAATTGGTTAGTATATTATTAATATATCAACCAATAATTTTGATACTTGAATTTAGGTTAGTAAATTATTATTCACTGTAAAATTGAAGAGGTGACAAGCCTAATAAATAGTCTACATTTTTTTGTTATAGATTAATTCAGTAAATGAAATATTTGTAAAATCGATCATAATTATTGTCAGGATAATCTAATTTTGGCAAAATCTATTATACATTTCATCAAGATTAATAACTTTAAACAAAATTTAAAACAACAAAAGTCTTTCAATTCTGTAATTACATCAATTAGAAAGAATTAATCTTTAAAAAGAAATCCCAAAACATCTCAAATTTTTTCATCAGAAATTATTACTTAAGGAAATAAAATTGTCTCGGAAAATAAATTTTACCACTGGTTAGATTTTACAAACCAAATGAGATTAATTCTTTAAAGTATTATAATTATTCTGCATAATTTAATAAGTTATTAATGTGAATATTCAATAAAAGGTGAGAAAATAATGTGTGCATTGTCTGTCGATCAACTGTTACTGTTATTAAATACAATATTTTGTATTAATATTTTTATAAAAAAATACTAGTTATTAAATTTTAATTACAACCTTAAAAATTGTTTATATATATATATATATACACACACACACATACCTAAAAGCTGAATAATTCTTATTATTCCCTCTAAATCCATGCTGTAATACAGCTTCAAACTGAGTGCAGAGAGAAACAATTCTGTAAATAAAAAACAAATTAATTATAATTGTCAATTCAAATTAAGAGATTCTGTGCCAGAAAGGGAGTGTTTAGTGTTTTCTTATCCAATTTAAAAATAATACATTACCTGCTATCACTTTCAGTGGCTAATTCAGTCCTCCCTCCAAATCTGATTTGACACTAGAGAGAAAGACAAGAATATTTAAGATGCAAGAANTAACTGGTGTGTAGAAATACAAAAACTAAACAACTTTGTAAAAACAAACATTTTCCAAACACCTTCCGTGTTCTTCCTCAGGTAAAACGGCTGGATTCCTTATAACCTGAGGAAGGACACAGAAGGTGTTTGGAAAATGTTTGTTTTTACAAAGTTGTTTAGTTTTTGTTTTTCTACACACTGGTTAGAGGCTCCAGTAATACGTTTTATTTATTTATTATTCCTGTTCCTAATCAACCTTTCTCTTCAATGTTTCATATCATCATGATTAATATAAAATATATAAATCTATCTGAAAATAAATGATACTTTTCGGATCACAGAATGCCTGTTTTTTATAAAACCTAATGTATTTATTTTAAATTTGTAAAAATTAGCCACAGAGTTTTAAAATAAACAGAGTGATGGGATTTTACAGTTATTTTGACATAATTATTCAGGCAAATACATTTTTAGATATAATACAAGAATGTATTTTATGATATTCTAGATTGTTTATCTTCAAATTATATCATCATTTTAGATAAAATCGATTATTTCAAATTGAAGATCTGTCGATCAACTGTTACTGTTATTAAATACAATATTTTGTATTAATATTTTTATAAAAAAAATACTAGTTATTAAATTTTAATTACAACCTTAAAAATTGTTTATATATATATATATATACACACACACACATACCTAAAAGCTGAATAATTCTTATTATTCCCTCTAAATCCATGCTGTAATACAGCTTCAAACTGAGTGCAGAGAGAAACAATTCTGTAAATAAAAAACAAATTAATTATAATTGTCAATTCAAATTAAGAGATTCTGTGCCAGAAAGAGAGTGTTTAGTGTTTTCTTATCCAATTTAAAAATAATACATTACCTGCTATCACTTTCAGTGGCTAATTCAGTCCTCCCTCCAAATCTGATTTGACACTAGAGAGAAAGACAAGAATATTTAAGATGCAAGAACATTTAGACTCAGGAATATTTTAAATTTACCTGTTTAACAGCATCCAAAAGATGCAAGAGCAAAGTCTGTCTTTCTTCTTCATAAGATTTGGATGATTCGCCTGTTTTAAATTTATACAAAATGTTTTATTCATAAACAATTTGAGAAACAAAAAAATTAATTAATAATTCATTATTGATTTTTAGCAATGTCTTTATTATAATATTGAATGAAGAAGTCAATTTTACGCAATATCTTCATTTGTTCCATACGTGCAAAAAGTTGAAAATCGAGATATGCAGTATCAACTAACAATAAATTCCTAACAATGACAGCTAAATAGCTTTTGTTTCATACCACTACTGTGAACTTACAGGTCTATCACTTTACGCAAAATTTTTGGATTGAGTCCAAGGATGCTAATCTCCGAGAAGTACCACTTTACTCGGAATTAAATGATGTAATCTTAATAGAGAAAGGCAATTACCCACATGTGACATTAATAAATAATGGCAATTTGCTAGACACTTATAATCCTCCTCAAAATTTAGTAATAAATTTACTTTATTTCTAAGAAGAATAAAGGAAAGTTATATTCAGCCAAATTTGGCGCATGCGCCACGGTTTGGCCACCCCTGATCTAGATCAAAGAGGATTGCCATTAACTACAGAACAACAGTTGCTGACAACATTACGATTTTATGCCACTGGAAGCTTCCAGAGGGTAGCTGCTGATCTTATTGGCATTCATGTCTCTACTGTATGCAGGTATCTATCAAACTACCATTAAATAAATTTAAAAANAATATTCTAAACATTAAAATTATATAAAATAAATTTATTATTATTCCGATTGACAAAAAACAAATATTTTTAAAGAGAAATTTGGTAATTCTAAACTAACTAATTGCGCAATTTGATTAAGTTTCAAGTTGTGCTTTATTAAGTAGATTACATTTGCTATTTCCTTAAACACACAGACAAACATACATGTAACAGTTTACATAGAAAGTTTACCTAGTAATTATACAATCCTTAAGTTTTAAAAAATGATTTTAATATATTTTACTCTTCTAATAAAAGATTTTAAATATCAGATTAGTTGTGCATGATGATACACCACCTCAAAACTCCTTTTAATACTGGCAATTTCCAAATAAATGAAATTTTATAAAATTAAAGGATGTTAAGTTTACTAACAAGTGCAAAAGTACAAAGTATACTTTGTATTTTTCATTTAAATCTGTATAAGAGGTATTATTACAACTTTCAACCCCTAACAATTCATTCTATCTATCATCGAATAAAGATAAAATACAGAATTGACATTTGGAAATAGAACACTGCAATATATCATCCATATCTAATTACACTTGACACGAGGTAAAATTATATATCTTTATATTATCTATTTTCACTGACATACTTGAAAAGACCTTCGGAAAATGTGCACACAATATAATTTAATACTTCGATAGTGTTGGACACATCTTCAAAGACAACAAATTTATGTAATTAATATAATAAAAGCTATTTTTATTTCTGTATTATATAAAAATACAAAATATAAAGTCTTTGGAAGCAGGTTTGGGACCCTGAAATTGCTCTCAAAGTCATCATTTATAACCCTTGACTGATGATCAATTCCTGTTCCTATATAACTTCTTCATGCATACTGGAGTATGTATAATAAATAAATAAAACGTACTTACTCGAGCCTCTAACTGGTGTGTAGAAATACAAAAACTAAACAACTTTGTAAAAACAAACATTTTCCAAACACCTTCCGTGTTCTTCCTCAGGTAAAACGGCTGGATTCCTTATAACCTGAGGAAGGACACAGAAGGTGTTTGGAAAATGTTTGTTTTTACAAAGTTGTTTAGTTTTTGTTTTTCTACACACTGGTTAGAGGCTCCAGTAATACGTTTTATTTATTTATTATTCCTGTTCCTAATCAACCTTTCTCTTCAATGTTTCATATCATCATGATTAATATAAAATATATAAATCTATCTGAAAATAAATGATACTTTTCGGATCACAGAATGCCTGTTTTTTATAAAACCTAATGTATTTATTTTAAATTTGTAAAAATTAGCCACAGAGTTTTAAAATAAACAGAGTGATGGGATTTTACAGTTATTTTGACATAATTATTCAGGCAAATACATTTTTAGATATAATACAAGAATGTATTTTATGATATTCTAGATTGTTTATCTTCAAATTATATCGTCATTTTAGATAAAATCGATTATTTCAAATTGAAGATAAGTTGACTAAGAAATAATAAGGGGAAAACATAACTTAAAAATTTTATTAATATGGTAGCCCTCGTTATATTAACTGTTCAGATATATTGCAAATTTTTGTTTTCCAAATATAAAAATACTTTAGCCGATAATCAGTTACCATTGAATTTCTACTGGCAAAGAAATTTATTTCATCATTGATGACGAAATTACCATTGTACAAAGTACAATCCACAAGAAGCAAATTGGCACAGAGATTGGAAATAGACAAAACAGACAGATAGATAGATACAGCACTCATTTGGTTTGTCTTCTGACACGAGCAATATAACAAGAAGCTACTCTATATTTTTATAATTGTGCTGTCATCAGAGGGAAGTTTTAACTTTTTGCACATTGATGTGGATGAGAGTCTCAAGATAAAGTTCAACTTCACCATAAGACTTATGTTCTAAGGTATAAAATAAGAATAAAATATGAAAAAATTTAAATTGTTTTATCAAAATCTTTTTTTATTTTTTAGAAGTAAAAACTATTCAATTTTTATCTGATGTCAAATGCAACCAGATATAAAATATAATGGATAATAAATCATTAATATTTTAGTCACATAATCATCACAAATAGTTCTATCAGCACTGACAATACTGTCAGATACAAAAATATATTACTTATTTAATTTCGAAAAACTAACGAGATAAAAGTTCATATTGATGTATGAAATACAAAATTTGTAAAAGCTTAAAGTAACATTGAAAAAACTTTAATGTTCCATAATCTACAAGTAAAATTTTTCAGTGAAAAATTATGATGGATGAACTGATTTAAGTAATGCACTTTTAACAGTGGGTGAAGTTAAAAGAATGATTTTTGATCCAATTAATGGCCATGCTCAGATGTGGAAAGTTGAAAATGGAATGCTATTGTTAGAAGAAAAGGATAAAGGAATAGACTACAATATAATAAATATCAAGAAGAAGGAATCCCTTCCTTCTGCCTGACAATATCTCCTTACACTTTCAACTCAACCATCACCATAATAGCCCACCGCTCACTCATTTATTGTATTGGGATCTATCTCTGTCCTTTCCTTTCAACACTAGCATTCCACTTTCAACTTTCCATGCTTGAGAATGACCTGTTAACAAATTAGAAATACAGTAGAGCCTCGATTATTCGACACCTCGGTTAACCGACCATCCTAGTCGGCAAATTTCAAATGTCCGCTAGTGATGTGGCGCTACAATATTTGGCTATGTCTTGGCTACTTTAATATTATTTTTACGTGTTTTAGCTGGCAACACTTATTCGACCATGAAAGGGAGCCAGTATTTAAACAAGGCTTAATTTTCTAATTTTTAACGATACAATAGCGACGATTATTATTTTAAAAATTTTTGTTAGGCTTAACATCGATGAAGTAAGTTAATAGCGATATACTAATATACTAATTACATGGGATATAATAATATACTACACTAACAATGGATTTTTTCATACTTTTCGGTTATCCGACTTTTCAATTATCCGACCAACCCCAGTCCCCAATTGAGTCGGATAATCGAGGCTCTACTGTATTATCATTCTTTTTGCTTCCCCACTGTTGAAGGGCATTAATTAATTTGGGTGAAAAATTATTTTCATCTACAGGGTAGCAATGGTAATACTACTCTAAACAGTCAGCAGTTTCCTATTGTAAAAACACAACAGATAATTAAATTAAATTGTTTCCTTGGTAGAAAATCAATATCAATTTCATTTTCCAAGCATACTTAATTAAAACAATACTGATTATTTAAAAGTTTTATAAATTAAATGATAAATTAATAACTTATTTTTTAATTGTACTTAAAGCTTTATATTATTAATAATACAATTTTAAAGTAGTTCAAGGATTTTATTTTTTTACGCATAATATGCAAAATGTAAAACAGTTACATCATCACTTTAGTGTCAAATAACTGATAAATTGCAAAACTTTAGCGAAAAGCAATAATTTTATACATTTGATTACTCAATAAAATAACAGCTATTAATAATGTATGATAACAAATTAAAAAAGTTTAAAGAAATTTTTTACTGTAAAATATTTTCTTTATTGGAGCTTGCTCACATTAAGTAACAATTTCTCTAGTAATTTCAGGAGAGTCTAGAAGAAACGTCGTCAAGCTAGCTCAATAGCTATCATCTAAATCTGTTCACATATGACCGGATTCTATCTAAGACAGTCGACACTCCACCTCTAACTTCCTTACCTCTTATGAATCCAGATGTACGTGAACAGATTTAGGTGACAGCCATCAAGCTCTTTTGTATCTCCCGATGACGGCTGGACTTCCCAAAATTACTAGAGATATTACTTGATACCAGAAAGCTTCAATAAAGTAGATATTTGTTTTTATTTTATGAACTTATTTTAAGTAATAAAAAAAAATTGAGTTTTTTAACCAAACCTGATTGTAAATAACTAAAATTAACTGAAAATATTCTATTAATAACTACATTTAAATTAAAATAAAAATTGTTAGTACTTAATTATAAGCAGCAATACATACATTTTGACTGCTTTCTCAGTAAAAATTAATACAAATTTTAATAATTTGAAAACTGGTGTTAAAATCAGACGTCAGAACAGATTTAAATTGGGCTTCAAGTACTTTCACTTGCAGTATTGCAGACTTTTAATTTTTATAAATTTTATTTGTATACATGTATACATATAGACACAAAAAAGACTTCTTAAATTAATCTGCAAAGACATTTTATTAGGATTTTTTAGAAAACAAAAATTTAACTTTGTTTATTGACAAAATAATATATATATATATAATTATAGCTTTTCCTTATTCTCATAGTAGTCATAACAATC